GTGTGTGTGTGTGTGTGTGTGTGTGTGTGTGTGTGTGTGTGTGTTCACTTGACAGGTTCAGAACATAAGCCAGTCAATGGAGGTGCTGGACCTGAGGACCTACAGAGATCTACAGTACGTACGGAACACTGAGAGTCTGATGAAAGTTGTCGATGGAAAGCTGAAGGTGGCGTCTGAAAACCCCCGCAGCCTCAATCCAAAGGGCTTTCAGGTAATTGGCTGGTTGTCACCTCTTGTACCCTGAGGTGTGTTTACAAACTGTCAGCTGAAAATGGGGAAACTGCTCGCGAAACTTTGCCAAATGCAATGCAATCTTTTGTTGCTTTTCACAAACAATAGCATTTTATATGACTCCTGGTTGACGTAACAAGCACTGGTGCACAAATTAAAACACCAGCTGGAATTACTGGGTCATACACTTCAGTAGGCCAATCTAAGTCACGTGTTTCTTCTGGATAATTAAACCCAGGAACCTGAAAGAACGTTTGTTTTTTTTTCTGTCTTACTCATTCTGCGTCTCTTCCGCTCTCTCTGCACTCAGCCTCTCTCACAACTCTATACACTTTACATTCAGGCATCTGCTTTTAGATAACAGGCACAAGCATTCACATTTATTTCCGCCTTATCTCTCAGCAAGTGAAGACTTAGTTACCATTATCAGCAGGCCTTTTTATTTTCCTGTCAGCGGGCCATCCTGCCCCGGCTTTCAGCAAATTTCTCACACACTTACAGACATTAGATGGGCCATAAAATTGTTTGATTAAAAGATGCTCTGATAAATGCTAACTGTGTTTCGCTGCTGGMTTCCTGCCTCAGCTCAGGGACAAGTACGAATGTCTGTATTAGCTTTCGAACATCTTCCCAACAAAGAAAATGAAGCTGTTTATACAAACTAGTGGCTCATCAGTAAAGCTTAACATCTCTCAGATATGCAGGTGGGAATTTATTGTTGTATTGTATTTGAGTGAATTCAAATTTAATATTTTCATTCAGAAAAGAAAAAAAAGAAGGATTTGACCAAAGCCGGTCAGCTGATGAATGTGCGCAGCTTAAAGTTGYCAATGGCAGAGCGTGGGAGATTAACGAGGGTGAATTTTCGCAGCTTGAAAAAGTGAAAATTAGATTTATGATGTGGCGCCACAGGGCTGAGAGCTGCTCCATCACCAGATTTACGATAAACCCTAACAAGGAGGAAACAGCCCCTCCTGTGGTGGCCASGCTTTATTGATACACCTTATTTCTCTGTTGAGCCTTCCACGCCTTCAGCCTGACTCTCCTGCTGCTCCCTGCACTCCCACCCAACAACGCATTTTGTTCTTTTCCACTTCCAAACTCAAAGTGAGTCACAGCTCAAACATACAGCAAAGCACAGCGTGCTCCTTCAGTTCATTCAGCTCAGCTGAAACCTTTCCTCTTGGAACAGCAGTGAAAAGATGATTTACCACAAGGGAAGCTACAGCTTTAATAAGTGACTTTCCAGCTCACAAAAATGCTTTTAAATGGAAATAAGTTAGTGCTTTCAACTAATGAATGAAAATGAAAGAAGTGGGTGTGAACTGGATTAGTTCAATAACAAAAACTCTAAATAAATTATTTGTGCAGCGTTAATTAAGATGAGAATAAATGAGGAATTTAAAAAAAAGAAAAAATGTTTTTCTATAAATGTCAGCAACACACCCAATACATAATAACATCCAGTAGTAAATAGGCACTTAGCTGCAAGATAAACAAATTAACATGATCTCCTGATATGTGTTGCATTTACAGACAGTCATTTTTATCTGACTCTCGTCTTTTGTCCTCATTTTTCTCAGAGGCTTTAATCCTCACCCAGAGTTGTAAAGTATCTAAGTACAAATACTTCTTTACTGTACTTAAGTAGAATTTTTGGGTATCTGAATTTTACTTGAGTAATTATTTTTCAGCCTACTTTTTACTTCTACTTATTACATTTTCACACAATTATCTGTACTTTCTACTCCTTACATTTAAAAAATACAAGTAGAAAGTTGTTATTTTTACTTCATTTTTGCTTGTTTTCATTCCAGCTTGTTAATGTACAAAATACATATTAACCATATAAATTGTTCCTCCTAGATAGAGTGAATGAAATTGTGGTTGAATGAGAAGTATAAATATATGAAATGCTGGAACTGTATTAGTTTGTACACAAACAAATCATGTCACACTCCAGCAGGACATAATCATTAAAATAAAAGGCCTGTACTTAAGAAGTGTTTGTATTTCATGAATTATATTATTGCATTTGGCCGCAGCCCTCAGACAGATTTTCATTTTGGAGAAAAGTTATGGGTACTCTAAATTTAACATAAATTAATTATTTTAATATAACAGTCATTTCTGCATTTTTGAGGTCGTCACCTCCTAATCAATGTCCTTACAGAAAATCTAACAGCTCATTTTAAATCAATATTTTTACTTTTAATACTCAAGTACAAAACATATCAGATACTTTAAGATTTTTACTCAAGTAATATTCCTAAAGGAGACTTTAACTTTTACCAAAGTAATTTTTTGGTAAGATACTTGTACTTTTACTCAAGTATCACTTTGTGGTACTTTATACAACACTGTCATCACCTCCCCTCTGCGCCTCTGTGCCTCCTTCTGTGTTGTAGGAGTTGAAAGACAAGGTGAACCAGCTGCTCCCCCTGCTGCCGGTGCTAGAACAGTACAAGGCCGACGCCAAGATGATCCTGCGTCTGCGGGAGGAGGTGAGAAATCTCTCCCTGGTGCTCATGGCCATCCAGGAGGAGATGGGGGCCTACGACTATGAGGAGCTGCGCCAGAGAGTCCTGCTGCTGGAGACCAGGCTGCACTCCTGCATGCAGAAACTTGGTATGACCAATGTGCAAACAGAAATTCATAACCAAACATCAACTGAGCATTTAAATGTGGTTGAAACACATTTGTGCATTTCTGCTTACAGTTCAAAGAATCTGCATTAAGAGAAAGAAAAGCATGTTGCTAATCGAGCTACATGAATAATTGATTGTGTTCTTATCTAAACACTAAAATGATGATTTTACACTTTAAGTGATGACTTAACAAAAGAAGACTGCCTTTAGCTTTCTAGTTTTATTAAAATTAACAATGCAAAAGAATCTAAGAACATTATGATCAACTTTTCGTACTTTTGTAGAACATTTTAGCTGTAATTAATAAGCTGGGCTCGTTCCTTAAAGTTGAGTAACTGTGGCAGTCATTTTGAAATGGACTGATTCCAATGATTGRTTGGTTATCTATATTTTGCTTGAGTAATAATTTTTCAGCCTATGCTTTTTACTTCTACTCCTTTTATTTTTACACAATTATCTGTGTATCTATTATTTTTTTAAAGGGTAAGGAGTAGAAAGTTACTCGTGTTTCATTATGGCTCGTTATTGTTATAAAATACTATCCTGATAAATTGTGTCTCCAAGATAGAGTAAATTTAACTGTAGTTGGATGAGAAGTATAAATATATACATTTCTGACACTGTATTACTTTCTACACAATCCGTCACAGCTGGATGCCTTTAAAAAATGTTTTTTTTTTAGGTCACCTCCCAAAAAATATAATTTTGGAAAATCTACCTGCTCGTTTTTACTTAATAATTTTACTTTTAATACTTAACATTTTATGTCAGAAATTTACTTTTGATATTTAAGTACAAAATAAATCAGACTTTTACTCAAGTAATATTCTTAGAGGAGACTTTAACTTTTACCACAGTAATTTTGTGGTACTTGTACTTTTGCTCAAGTATCACTTTGAGGTACGTTATAAAACAATGCCTTCTGCTGTGATCATAGGATCAACTGAATGCTGTTTATAGTATTGTATATCCTATTGAGACRTATTCATGTTTTCCTCCTCTGCTTCTTTGACCTCCAGGCTGTGGGAAGCTCACTGGTGTCAGTAATCCCATCACAGTGCGAGCGTCAGGGTCAAGATTCGGCTCCTGGATGACAGATACCATGATACCCAGCTCAGACAACAGAGTATGTTACCCCCGTTTGTCTCTCACTACTTTGAAGTTAAAGAAACAAAGAATGACATTACAAAACAAAAAAGGACAAACAAAAGAAAAAGCAACATCCCTCACAGTGATGCTGTCACGCCACGTCAGTGAATGATTGACTGTGTTGCCTGAAAAGAATTCCTCATGAGTTCTAGAAAGTGACAAATACTGAGAGAGAAATTGGGAATGGGAGGCTGAGTTGCTGATGAACAGCATTTGTTTCCTACCTGTCTTCCTGRTTCATTACAAACTACAACTGACTGATCGCTTTATCATCAGAGGAGAAATAAATGAGCTGTTTGGGCTGAAGTTTTCRAAATCCCCTGGGCAATTACCAGCAGTGAGCCAAGATGCTCTGGACTCAGATGAAATAGTAATGGCTTCCGGAGACAAGAGACGAGTCTGCAACCTGTGGCTCTCTGGTCCCTCTGCAGTGGCTAAATGCAAATAATCACAAGCTTGGTTTAAATAACGCTTGTTTTAGAAGGACTTCTGTTCATTTTGATGCAAATCTGTGAATACGATTTTAGTGACACAATGGGTCTAATAATGCAAGGAGCAAAACCGTTTAATCTCCGCCAAGAGCGAGGTAATGTTTTCGGTCGCATATGTCTGTGTCTGTCGGTCTGTCTGTGGACAAAATTACTCAAAAACTTGTGGACAGATTGTCATGACATTTTTACCACATGTGGGTACTGGGCCAAGGAACACACCTTTAAATTTTGGTGATGTTCTGGATCACGATGCAAATCCAGGATTTTTTTTCTTTTAACACTCTGAGATCTGCAAAGCTGTGATGCTTTCACAGGGCTTTTGTAAAAAAAACAGTGAGCTGGATTGGACAGCACGGACTTCAAACTTTATAAAAGTAATGTTAAAATCCCATTTAATGATGAGTAATTTTTGCCATAATATGCGCATTTACAGAACGCTTTGTGACCAGGAAGTGCGTGAATGCACCGTGAAACCTAATTTTCCCATTTCCTCAAACACACCACATTTCCGAAACAACCAATCAAAACAGTTTCTCTCTACTAGGCTTGTAAACAGAGAGCTGCTGGGCCTCAAATTTTGGAGACGGGGGAGCCAGGAAGCACTTTATAAAGAGAGTCAAACCACAAACTCATACAAGGGGATAAAACAGACGTTTTACATGGTGAAATGTGACTGATGAAAACTTAGGAGCTTAATCCAACACCAGTTTGACGATGAATGACGTCGGGTGACGAGTCTGACTTTTGTTTTTCACATTGGACTCCACCGAGAAGAAATTCCGTGCCAACTGCCTGCTTAAATGTTGGCTATACGTCAGAATGTATTCGGCAAATATGTTTCCATCTCTGCTTTTGTGCATTAACTCTTACAGGATGGGGTATATTGGTCTTGGCGGAGGTTTGCACTCTCCGAGTGCTCCTAGTTAGTTTATACAAMTAGTCTGTTAGCTTGTTAAAGAAACGGCTCTTTTGCGTGTGGAGGTTTCAGATCTCTGGATGAGAGAAAACACCTGTTGGGGAAAAAAAAGATAAAAACGTTGAGAAACGAGAAAAGAACAAAAATTAAAATGAGTTTTAGTTTGTTTTCTAATGAGAGAATGGGAGCCAATGAAGTTTAGGTGGAGAGATGAGTTTGGCCTTTTGCTAACTAGAATGAATCATAACAGTGTTAATAGACATTGCAGCCAGAAAAGGTCAGTTTCTGAGCGCGAGTCTAAATGTCTGTAATCACCTGACTTGCTAATATCATGTTCAACTCTTTAAGTGATTTTCTCATTGCATTAATAGGCAGGCAAGTCAACATTCACTGGGATCATCATAATTTGATGGGAAAATGTTGCTCAGGAGTCAAACGGACAAAAGGCATAAACTTGGATTAAATGTGCCCGAAGTTTTGCCCTGGCTCAGCTCCCGTCTCGCGTTTAGCCCAGGGGACTCATTTAGCAAGCCCAGTAGAAGGCGTGCTTAATGCTTTACAATCTACCCTCCTCCATAATTCAGCTGCTGTACCCCACCACCACAACTCTCTTCCTCCCCCACTCTCTGCAGCTGAAAAGTGCTTGTTCTTTACGTACGGAGGAGCCCAGAGTAAGGCGAGAGAGAGAGAGACTGATGCAAACGAATCAGAAAGAGAGCTATATCTTAGCAAAGGTCGTTGTGTTATGTAGATGACAAAATAAATATCCATTCCGACAGTTTAATTGAATCAATTGAAGGCCRAACTGTGCCTCGTTGGAGGCGCCGGGGGAACGAAAACTGAGAAGCAGCCGGAGAGGTGCGATGTCAGAGGATAGATCCGCCGAGGGCGCTCAAGGAAAAGGATAGAGTTGCCAAATGGATTGATTTTCTGTAAATGGGGACTGGAAAAGGGCAGGAAATGCAAGCAGTGGTTCCCTGCGAAGCGCAGGCAACATCTCTGCCCACATGCAGGAGAGATCAATAGCTGTGCACACATAAACACACACACTTACACGCACCAGCACAAAGGCTCACACTTAAACACGAACAAGCAAATTCGACACACACTCATCATTCTTACTTTGCTCGGGGCAATGCCACCAGCAATACATTATGGAAACATTAGATTGTTGTTGCAAAGAGGTGTGTCGGTTATCATAGAGCCTCCTATTTTATAAACTTTGTATGTTTTCATTAACACTGATCCAGCCTTCTACTCTTTTAAATTTTGTTCTTTTTTTTTTTTTTTGCTTTTCTTGTTTCCAACAGGTCTGGTCCATGGATGGTTATTTCAAAGGGCGACGTGTCCTAGAATACCGCACGATGAGCGATTTCATGAAGGGCCAAAACTTTGTGCAGCATCTACTGCCACATCCTTGGGCCGGCACCGGTCATGTGGTCTACAACGGCTCACTGTACTACAACAAACACCAGAGCAATATCATCATCAAGTACCACTTCCGCTCTCGTAGCGTGCTGGTGCAGCGCAGTCTCAGCGGAGCCGGTTAYAACAACACCTTCCCCTACTCCTGGGGCGGCTCCTCTGACATTGACCTGATGGCGGACGAGAATGGTCTTTGGGCAGTTTACACCTCCATCCCTAACGCGGGGAACATCGTCATCAGCCGCCTGGAGCCTCAGAGTCTGGAGGTGCTGCAGACCTGGGACACGGGCTTCCCCAAGCGAAGCGCCGGAGAGTCTTTTATGATCTGCGGCACGTTGTACGTCACAAACTCTCACCTCGCCGGCGCCAAGATCTACTTTGCCTACTACACCAACACATCAAGTTACGAGTACACGGACATCCCCTTTCACAATCAGTACTCCCACATCTCCATGATGGACTACAACCCCAGAGAGAGGGTCCTGTACACCTGGAACAACGGACACCAGGTGCTCTATAATGTCACACTCTTTCAGGTCATTAAGACTTCTGGGGACTGAGGCCTCAGTATAAAAGACCCATTCAAATAATGCTGTGATCACTGTTCAAAATGGACAAAGAAGTCGGGCGGAGGTGGTTCAGGAGGGGTCTGGGTTGGAGGTCTGAAATCTGTATGCTTAAGATTGGATTTTTAAAAAAAGAATTGAAATCTTCATAGAGTGCTATTATTCACATTGTTTAAAAAAACAAGCCTGGATTGGTGGAAATTTAAAGACTGAGCGCTACTTTTCTTTTTTTCTTATTTCTTTTCCTTTTTTGTGATGAGTAAGCATGGTTCTTTTTATTTGTGATGACAAATAAACATCCACTTTACCATTTCTGATGCTGTATTTTTATTGTTGCTCCTTTGGCTCCAACAGTTGTCACYAGCTGCGTTTCCATTACTAATGTGTGCAAAATTTTGTYGATATTCTGTTAATGTCGAAAAATACAGTTTCGCAATTGGGGTGTTTCCATTAAGTAAGAAATACTTTTAAAGTCACACATGAATACGTTTGTTCTTGCAACAAGTCATTACAAACATGGCGGCAATGGATGTAAACACATGCATAATTGCTACCATGGCACTAGCGCTCATCATCAGAGGAGATGTCAGCATCTTATCAGGGCTTTCCAGCAACAAACCCCTTGTACTTGGGAGCAGCTACGTATGTAGCGTTTTTGGGAAATTGTAGTCAGTGAGTTTAMTACTTTCTTTTACAACTTTGGTGATATTACGGCTACTTACTTCCTGTTGTCTTCGTCGTCATCTTTTTTGCCAGTAGAAACAGCCGGATGTTAATCACGTGACTCCCGTGATGCGAAAAGTGTTTCCATTGCAGTTTTGCAAAATGCATCAATTTCGATACAGTCGAAAAACCACCTCAGCCTAGCGCAAAAACATTTTGTCGAAAAAAGGAAGGTTTTTTCAAAATTAACGTGTTTCCATTGAGAAAATTTAATTTCGAAATTCTAATTTGCGCATTTTCATGGTCAATGGAAACGCAGCTACTAATAAAATATGTGGAAAAAAGGATTGAAACTAACAAAAAGATTTTCTTCTTGCTTTCTTCAGCAGTATGTTGAAATATGAAGGCATGTAGAAGCAGAAGATTGGGAAAATGCCTCAAATTCTAATTTGCTCTACTTTAACAGCCAAGTCGTAATGATGTGGACACAACATGAATACTGACAAGTTAATCTTCAGAGCTGTATAACACCTTTTTTGGGAGGAAAAAGAAAATCCTTATCTGAAAAAGTCAGAGCGCACGTCTTTGTGAATTCTGGGTAATAAAAGTGTGTGCTTCCACGGGCACAAATGGTGTTAAATTCACCGGCTGCAGCCACCTCTTACATTTAATTTTACCAAGGTGAATTGGATGTGAAAGCAAAGTGTCTGGTAAAAAGGTGCAGGCAGTGCAGGTGTGACGGCTGGAGAAGAATGCGGKGAGTGAGAGGCGAAATGTAAAAAGGTGTTTACATTGGAGCGATGAAATGACGCTTCACGGTTTGTGCTGCTTGTCGAGCTCCAATCTGCTTTAATCTTGTTAGTCGCACTGTTTTTCCCTGAAGCTCTTTGCAGGAAAATGTTCAAACAAAAGGCGCACAGTGGGACTCTGCTGCCATTAACATCTTAAACCAGAGACCTTACTTTGCATCTCTTTCATTATTTATTGATATAAAAATATTGTTCTGAGGACAGATTGGCATTAGAGGATTGTTTGGCAAACAGAAGCAAAGCCCCACTGTGCATTTTACTACTTTGATTTTTAAAGGGGCAATATTATGTGTTTCTCAGGCATATATTTAAATACTATACATAATTAAGTATCTATGTCAACTTTAGTTGTTATTAAAATGCCTTATTTTTTTGTTTAAATAGAAAATAAACTTATCTTCTCATCACTTCCTCTTMTAAACGCCTTGAAATTGGCCTCTGTCTCTTTAAGAACCACCTTCCGCTTCTGTYYCACCCATTTCGGTGCGGGGTGGGGGGGTGGGGCTTTGATGCAGTTTACTTGGCATCTGAAAACACATTTCCTCAAAGGTATTTCTAATCTGAAAAGTACGGCGCCCACGAGGGGACATGGGGGGATATTTTTTCATTTGCATTACCTCGCAATATCTTTGTGTTACCTCGCAAAACTTTTGTGTTCCCTTGCAATATTATTTTGCGTTCCCATGCAAAAGTTTTTTTGAATATGAACTGAATTAAATCAGACTTTTATTTTGAAATATCCGGTTACCAAAACAGGATGTGTCACCACAGTTCGTGAAATTGACACTGATGTTGTGTGGCTGCACWGTGTTAAAATATCGGCATATGACATACGTAGTTGTGTGATACATTCATTCTAAAGCTGAATTAAAACAGTAGACTAACTCGCTAATAGTGAACAAGTGAATTCGTTAATAACCCGGCAGGCATGACAGAGATAAATTACTTTTCCAAGGGAACACAAAAGGTATTGCGAGGTAACKCAGTACTACTGCGTGGGAACGCAAAAGAAAAAAAATCTCCCATGTCCCCTCACGGACTCCGTAGCAAAGAGCTTCACTGAGTGAGAACTAATGTTGAGAGCTCAGCAGACAGTTTAAGTTTCACTTTCACTTTCACCCGAAAGCCTGCAGGAGTCATAGGCGGGGTGTGTAGGGAGGGGGCACTGAGCCATGAGGAAGTTTGGCTCAAAGACAYGTCCCAGGGGCATTTCTGGTGCCAAAAGACGTTTCTGGTCCCCACCTGTCATTTTGCTCCTCAGCATGGCTGCCTAAAAACGCTGCAGGATTTCTCAAACTTGTATGAATGAGTCAGAGAAAGGCTTTGGGCATGTTTTTTTATGAGAGTATAACATCATAACATGATATAAAACTCAAAAAAGTTGATTTTACATGATATTGCCCCTTTAAAGCCTATGTGGATGCAGCCATTGTTTGCAGAGGCCATGGTGGACCCATAAGACAAAAGATGAAATAGGAGGTGCCATTTTACTTGTCCTGTGTAACCATGGTGATCCTGTTCATCCTGGATGACCTTTCCTTCAGGGGCTGTGCTGGGGGGGGGACCTCAGTGAGTGGCATTTAGGGCACAGTCCATGAGGATTAACATCACTCGGCATTTTAACAAATAAAATTGTGTTTATGCTCTTCATAATAAAAAGCATCAAACTATGTTTYGTCTTATTAGTAACCAATACCTCACCTCACTGGTACCCTTAGAATTAATCACAGATATTGGCGTTTTAAACCTGACCTCCGTGTTCCACAGAAAACAAAATGTTTTTAATGATTGTTAGAAYGGCTGTTCTTAGAGATAAAAATACACCAGCTGTGCTCTTCTGATGTAAGTGTCTTAACCAAGCTGGTGTGTGAAGAACCAAGTATTTTCCCCGGTGGTAATGAGCATACAGGGAGAACATTTGTCACTGCAGCTTCACATATTTTGCAACAATAAAACAGCTGAACCCACAAACTTCAGGGAGGTTCTGGTTGCAGCGGAAAGCAGAGACCTGCCCTGTGTTCATTTAAAAGAAAAAAATCTTACAGCTTTCCTTGTAGCTGTTTMTGCAGTTTATAAGTTACTTTGTACATTGGTGTCAATCAGTTAATAATGCTAATCCTAATGTTAATATTTGCCTTGCTACATGGACACAAATAATACCAAATTGGGGGCAAGCAGAGATGCAGAAGCTCAGAGCTTTACTCCAGAGTCACGCTTTTAGCCATGACAAAAAAAATATTGCCAYGATATCGTGCTTGCGCGTATTGAGTGCCTGCTTGCAGGAGGTTCATCCTTCAAAGAGACACAAAAGCAGAAGTGAGGCTGTCGAGCTGGACCTCATGTGAAGAGACAGCCACAAAAACTGCTGCTTTCTAATGTTTATCTCTCAAATATGCTGTCCAACTCAAAAAAGGGGATGAGTTAAGGCTACAGATAGCTCTCCAGCACCACTGTGTTCACAGAGACCTGACTGTTTTCACTTCTAACATACTGTATTAAACTTGCAGGCTGCACAGCACAGAGCCCCACCATGACAGAAATAGATTCTCCAGTAAAAAAAAAAAGGTATGTTTACATTTATATTGATGTGCCAAAGGCACTGGGGCAGCTCTGATCTCAGTAATAAGWAAAGTAATGTGTTGCATAAAGTTCATCAGATTAAAATATTGTAGTCAAAACTTATCATGTATTATTTTTAGAATGCTTTTATTTGTCTCCACGCACTCTGTAATTACAGCTTCAATACTCTKAGCTTCATTTTCCATTCACTGTATCTGTCCGCACCACTTTTCTCATTAATTGCGTCTTCCTGGCGCACACTTGGAACAATGCTTCCTCTTCCTCAGAGTCACAAAGCAAAAAAATATTCCTCAACTCCGTGCACCTTGAGGTGATGCTGCACTCTCTTGAGCATTCGTTTCCTCCATGATTAAACAGAACTTGTTCTCTCAGGTAACCCCCTTCCCCACCACCACCACCACCACCACCAAACATTTTAGAAAATACGTTGAAACGAGAGCATCTTTTCTTAGCTCAAACATTAAAACAACAAAATTATGCAAATGGTGCAGAAGATAAAATTATTCAACTCCTCCAGGATTCTGTATGTTCAATTAGGTTTGTTTTTGAACTTTTGTTTACTGAGCATCAGCATCCCCCTACCAACCTTTTGGGTCAGCAGTATGGTCTTAGCTGTGGCCATGGGCGATTTAATTGTTAAACTAATATTCAAACATTGCACACCTCACTGATGCTGTAATGGTTTATCAACAAGCGCTGATCTGAGAGCGTTTATGGATCTTTCTTCTATTTCTGTAATTGCAGTGAGATGCTGCTGGAGGAAAAAAGATGAAGGTTTTAGCTCTGGTGTGCCAGCAGCAAAAGATCTCAGGATGCATTAATCCAAACATCAGAGTCAGAGTCAATATAAATATAACTGGAAATAACATTTAGGAAAAAAAAACAGTTTGTGCAACCACAGTTCAGGAAGATGGCACAGGATGTATTGAAATGAAGGGAAAATGTAATTTGACTTTCGTTTAATTATGTGGTTAGAAATGCATGCAGCTGTGAAATGTGTTCCTTTAAGGAATGCTATGCCTTGTTTTTATGTTTTTGATCCTTCCTGCTTAATTCAGGCTAAGCCATTTTGTAAAGTAATAATAAAAGAAGCGTGACTCAGAAATCCATTAGTCATTAATTTTGAAGAACATATTTTCTGTGAAATTGTTACCCTTCAGCTTCTATTGTAGCGTTCGAGCCCCTGAAGCACCATTGTTTTTTTATTTTTATTATTTTGTGCACAAATGAAAAAAAACTTGCAAAAGGCACTTCAGGGAATTTTTATATT